TTGAGGTGAACAAGAACCGCCTATGTCTGCTACACAGTGTTCTAAGGAACTGTCTAATCTGATTGTGAATGTATGGGTTAAAACTGACACTGGATTGGAAAGTGCTGTTCATCCAAATACATACAGTGAGACTAACAGTGAGCAGCTACGTGCTTCTGAGCATCATCTTTTAAAAAAGCGTACTGGAAAAATTGGGGAAAACTCAAAAAAAAAGTCCTTCCCCCTGTTACTTCATACCTAAGGTCAAGAGCTTTTAGTTGGAGATTTAAGGAACTCTCTTGGCTTATTTAAAAAAAAAAAAAAAAGAAAAATTACTGGATTTATGTCAGGTCACACAAGAAGATACCATTTTAACAGGCCCTTCAGTATCAGAGGGGAAAGTGACACAAGATTTAAGGACAGGGACTTGAAATCAGAATAATTAAAATCAACCCCTGGAACATATTTTGATTGGAGTGATAGAATTCCCACATTGATAACGGTAGGACTATACATAAATGCACACATTAATGATGAATGATGCTACCTCAACTGTCTCTTCAGAATTCAGTTCCTTCTCCTTTTAGACCAAGTGAGAGAGATGCAGTGGTATCCTAAAAAGTGAGTTTTCAGCCGATGTCTGCTCTTGGTGTAATAAGTGCCCCGTGTCCATTGTTAACACTCTGGTGTCAAACAAAGAATTTGGAAGAGGAGTGAAGGATCTTTGTCCCCAGTGAGAGACAGATTTTCGGATTAAATAGAGGAAAAGAAAAGGACACCTGTTCTTTCACGCACATTTTTATTTTATGTTAATCAAGATAATCTTGTTTGAGCTTGAACTTTTGTGTCTGAAAGAAATTGTTTGTGAAGGGAGTGTATGTGCAAGGCATAAAATATTTTCTGCAAGTGTTATTGATGCAGCTGTTATTCTGCATGCAATTACTGAAAGTAGCCCAGGGATAGACAGCTTTATTTGCAGCAGAATCAATCTCTGCCTGACTTCTATTACAGGTAAGAGATTAAAACCAGTTATATGAAATTATGAGAGGAATTCCCAAGTGCAATAGCAATGACATCATGTGAGACCATTAAGCAAAGAGTTAATTATTAATATATAGTACTTAGCAATTCTGAAAGGCAAACATTTTGAACTTGTAGTCTCATAGTCATAGCATAACAAATCTTTTTAAGCATCAAGCATCTTGGTATTCAGTGTTTTTCTGTGCTCTGTTGATTTCACCATTTGTAATAGAATCATTTCTGTTGGGAAAGACCTTTAAAATCAAGTCCAACCGTTAACCTCATACTGCCAAGTCCACCACTAAACCATGTCCGTGGGCACCGTGACTACAGGTCTTTTAAATACCTCCCAGGGATGGGCCCTATTCCAATGCCTGACAAACTTTTCAGTGAAAAAGTTTTTCATAATATCCAGTCTAAACCTCCCGACACAACTTTCCGTTGTGTCACCATTTCCTCTGTGCATGCCGTTTCCGCTTGTCCTATCTTACCCTCTTCTACCTAATAATAGAGATTCAACCTTACATCTCATTTGTTTGCTTTACCAGTCATACTAATATTAATAAGAATAGATGGAGGTGTGGAGAGGAAGATACAACGCAAAGCAGGTGCTGGTCTCTGCACTGATCTTGAAGAATTTTATTTAACGCCTTTAAGGAACATCTGTAAACTAAAAAGTATTGGATATAAAAGGTCATGGTGTAGATGATGCTAGTTTTATGGCACTGTCTTCCCTGTCCTGCCTAACCTCTCTGTGCATAACTGATAGCAAAGTGGGTGGACGGTCTGGCACGGTCATCTCTGGTAATGCCCCCTCCACTGCTCCAGAGACACGGGCTAACTGCCTTTTCTGCTGGATGTCCTACTTGATCAACACCTAACTGAACTCAGGAATTTGCTTTTACTTGCATTTTATTCTTAAGTATGCTCCTTCAGCTTCCTAACCAAAACTCCATGTAGCCTCACAGCTTTTTCCTGTTTATGTTGTTTGGTCTAATCAACTGTCTTTAATGTTGCAACTGAATTGATGTATATCTGTGTGTATGTATACATCTATATATGTTCTTATCATTCTACAACTACCTGAAAGGAGGTTGTAGTGACCTGGAGGTCAGTCTCTTCTTGCAAGTGACTAGCGATAGGACCAGAGGAAATGAGCTTAAGTTGTGCCAGGGGAGGGTTAAATTGGGTATTATGAAAAGCTTCACTGAAAGACTTGTCAGACACTGGAACAGGCTGCCCAGGGAAGTGCTGGAGTCCTCATCCCTGGAGGTATTTAAACGCAGATGTGCTCAGGGACATGGTTTAGTGGTGGACCTGGCATTGCTGCGTTAATGGTTGGGCTCAATGATCTTAAAGGTCTTTTCCAACCTAAACAGTTCTGTGAATCGACATGGGTGTGTATCCCTCTCAAGGAATTGGAGACTTGCAGTGGGACTGCTTAAAAGACTGAAAAATGAAGCCAGTTTTAAACTTGAAAACAAAGCTACTGAGTTCATTCCTCAACAACAAACTTTGTGTGAATGATTAGTTCTTACATGTTATTAATTATTGTTGATACTTATATAAAACTGTTAGTCTATAACACTTGTACACTAAGTTGACTGTGACTATACAACAGCATGGAGCTACTGCTGCACAGCTGGCGCTGATGGCCAAGGTCCTTATCAGTCTCCAAGGTGAAGGCATTCGGGCTGAAGAGCTCTTCCATGAGAGGAAGTGTCTGTCTTCATTTCTCCCTTGTCACTGTTGGTATTTTAGGCTTGCTGTCCCCCCCTTTCAGCTGCCTAAAGGGGGATGCAGTTGCTCCTTAACTTGGTTTTGCTTTTGCCAGTCAGGCCATCTTGCAGGATACCCTGCCCGGTTTCCTTCCCCTGTGTTTATTTTGGTCTTTATCATGTAACTTCTGTCCCTTGGGTGTTTCCAGAGTGCAATTGTGCAAGCCTGTCTTTGCCGATTTGATGGTTACAGTGCTCACAACATGAATTACTTGTACGTAGTGTTGGACTGTGCCATTGCACTATTACAAAATACTTGAATGCAGGTCATTCCGATATTTAAATGTGCTTATATTTGGATTCCAGACAAGCTTATAATAACTATAGCCAGATAATACACTTAGAGGTTTCCTAGAGCTTTTCTATTTTGGCCGCACTAGCCACAAACCTTTTTCTGTATTATTATTTGTAATTCCAGTAAAAAAAAGAGAAGAATCTCCGATGTTTAAAGTTCAAGAGAGGTCTAAATTCAGGATGACAATCTTTGTACTTAAAGAACCAGGTCAGGTGGACCTGCATACCTGTTTTTTGACTTCAGAATGCATCATCCTTTTTGGTCAACACGGGGACACTTCAGTCTTGCCTTTTGATGTATTTATCCCATCAAAATTTTTTTTTTACACAAAGCAGTTCATCTCAGCTGTTGTTGTGTGGACACCCAGTCCATGGGAAATGTGTTGAGCATCTTCCCACATTATGCTGTGGTGTGAACTAAAACGTGAGCTTGTAAAACAGCATCACCTCATTCAAACGTGCAAATTGTAGATGCTAAACGAATACAGTGGAGCAGAGAATCTGCCAGTGTTAGAGACAACAGTTCTTGGTTTTCTTGGTAATATTTGAATTTTCTGTTTATAGACAACCTTGAATTACCTTTGAGTGTGAATTGCTATTTTGTTATCAATAGTAATTTTATAATTTTATTGTTTACCGTGTTTTTTTAGTAGCTGCACAGGGCGAGGCCTATGCTCCTACAAGGATATAAAATTGATTTTCGTTCAGTCTCTTTGAAGAGAGGCAAAGTCCCACTGTAAAAATAGAAACATGGAAAGCCATGGGGAAAAAAAAAATCTTAGATGAGGATGCGTTTTCTTACTGTTTCTGAAATGCAGAATGCCCTGTTTTTCTAGGAAATACCATTTGTGGTTTTGAAGGGGAAATACTCCCCTCCAACTGGATTCTTTCTGCAAGCGGACTATCTGAATCAGTCACTGTATCAAAGGTGAATGTCCAGGCAGTCAAGGTGTAAAATGATTTCTTCTCTTGAGTATCTTTTTTCTGTGCAATGTTTACTCTCTGGCTGAAGCATCCTGGACTTCATCTAACAACCGTTATAAAGACACAGCAATTTCATGTCTTTGTATTATGTGTGGTAGAGCTAGACGTACCAAATTTTAGATTCACTTAAAAATTTAGTATTACTTTAATGTCTTCTGGGTTACTCCAAGTAACTCAAAACTCATTGCAATACAGGACTGTTCTGCTGGGAAAAAAACAAATGACAAGCTCTGATGGTTAAATGAACAGTCTTCCTGGATGAATCTGCATGTTACAGTCTAACCAATCATTTTCAGTAATGATATACATACAGAAGTTGTAAATGGTACAAGAAAATCTGTAAGCTAGGGGACAGATTTCAAGTTCACTTCCTTTGCAGTCATTGATGTATCAACTAAAAAAATCGGACTTGGATGACTAGTACGAAAAAAGATGCATTGGGATACAGATAATTTTAGTATACCTTTGTAATTTACGCATTCTATACAAGAGAGATTGAGAATTATGTTACTTGCCAGTATTTCAAAGTGTTGATTTCTTTTTCTAGCTATCTAATTATTTCTCAATAGCCAGGATTTAATATCATACATCAATTATTTATTATACTTTGAGAAGTGATGTTTTGATGCTACACTTTCTTCCATTGAAGAAGGCACAGCCGCTGAGTTTAGCAGAAACTTGTTTTGTACAAATATTTGCATGAAGGCAGCAGCAGAGTGTAGCCATGGAATATTAAGTTATGTACATCGAGGCAATCCTCATCTCCTTCACACACTGCGTGGTATCTTGAATTTTAGCTATATGGGTCATCTTTCAGTAGAAAAGGTCTCTGCACTACAATTTTCATAAATTTATATGGAAAGCATAGAAAATAAATACAAATGAATGTAGTAGCAGGTAAGTTTACTCTTCATGTGTGTTTTTCAGGAGTGTCTCTGTTGCTGCTCAGTCTTCTATTTTCAATTTAAATTCCACCTTTCCTTCATACGGATCATGAACATTATCATAGGTAATTCCAGCTCCAATGATTTTGCACACTATTTTAACTTCTACGTTCCTTGTAATGTTGAGAAATTTCACAGCCACCAAAGGATTGCTGTAACTGGGCTAGGAGGTGGGGGGAAAAAAAATAAAAAAGTAATTTCACACTGCTCATTTAGAAACGAAGCATTAAAATTAGCCTTCTCTCCATTACTTGTAAGATTGCAGAGATGCTCCATACGTTTCATCTCATACAGATATCAAGAAGGCAAGTGATACTGAAATCTGTGAGCACCCACCTGTGCCTTTTTTCCGTAGTAGGGGAAGTAGTGCAGGCTGAAGGTGCCATTCACAGGGTAGTAGTCCACCTCCAGCGGGCGAGACTCGTCACCCTGTTTGTTAAAGGGAGAAAGAAGCTTCGTTGGCGAGGCAATTGTGAGCCAGCCCTGGGCAAGTATTTTGCTGCTGCCACTGCTGCTAAGAGCAAGTGGTATCTACCAAAACCCAAGTTCAGCAGTCTTTTTAGCACCCATCTTACTTTTATTTTTCAAGTAAATGTGGAAATCTCCCACTGTTAGCTACTGCCAAGAGAAACAGGCAAGTGTTCTTCCGTAACAGTCATGAATTCAGTGAGTGGGACCCGCTGAAGTGTGCAGGGAGCCTGAGGGAGGAGCTGCTCTGAGGTATGAAACTCACTACAGGGAGCTGAAAGGAAACAGCAGATGTTCTCTGCAGCCGGGGAAAACAATTCTTCAGGTGGTTTAAAATAAAGCAAACATTTTAATTTCTTTTTTTTTTTTTCCTTAAGATGTCTGCTTGTGCAAGAGATTGCACAGGATGGAGACTATTCCCAGTATTTGACCAGAATTATGTGTTTTCCAGAGCTTCAGGGTTATCTTTCTGGACACAACTGCAGTTCACTTGCTATCAGAGCTGCAGTGCTTGAAAGTTTTAAGACTTGGACCTCATACACTTACCACATATGTGCAGTCCACCCTTGGTGCAGTACCATTGCCAGGGAGAAACTTGATAATCTGAAACAGAAAACATGCACTTGGTCATCTTGAAAAGTGTTTCGGGATAAAAACAATCAAACGATTAACTGAGCTTTGAGGGATGCGTGATGCACTTCTGTGTAAGGCACCATCGAACAGATCATGTCCTCTCTCATATCTGGGTGAAAAACTGTCATGGCTGGATATTTTGAGAGCAGGGCTCAGTGCTGCTCAGGCCAGGCACTGAAGGTGCCTCCTGGCAAGTCCAGCTCATTTACCCGCAAGGTACCGCTTGCTCTTTCTGACGCCCAGGCAGCCAGAGGTCTCCTAAAACTGCTAATTCTATGACAATAATGGAAAAATAAAATCTCTGTGCTTTTTGTCTTACGTCCTGTTAGAAAACCTTGTCTTTGGCAGAAACCCTTAGACCCATTTGATCCTACAGGTATCATTGGGTTGCATCCTGTAGCGGTGAAAGGAGGTAAAGCTCCCTGCCAGGGCTGGCATGTGGCCTTGCTGAAGGAGGCAAAGGCATTCTGGGGAAAAGCCAAAATTTCACCTGCCAGCTCTCTTCACAGATCTTGCGCAGATTCTTGAAAACATCTAGGGTGCAAGCCAAACCAAAAATGAAGTGATTTTTGTCTCTCAGGAGCTGAAGGAGAATTTGAGGTCTTCACTTTCTACCAAAATTGAACTAGAATGCTCAGAATTTGACCTGAAAACAAAAATAAAATGCTTATGCCTTTGTCTATGTCCTGAAAAAAATAAAGGAAACATAGAAGATTCCCTTTTTCCTCTTGAAAAAAATCCAACGTGTTGGTGGTTTTTACTGAGAAAAAAAAAAACAAAACACTAGGTTTGAATTTTGTTTCTATAGGTCCTGCTAAAGATTTCCTTTGCATCCTGGAGAAATAAGGTGTGGAAGTATCACCTCTCTGAAGTCACTTCTGTTACTATCGTGTCTTAGTGCTTCAGCTGAAGGCACAGGGTTGTGGTAACGCAGAATGAAACTGTTTTACCTAGAGGTTCATCAGGTGAGAGCGCTACGGGGACACTAACAAAACTAAACAAAAGCCAAAACTTTGAAGAGTCAGTTCAGAGATCACTGTACCCTACATTACTTTCCTAGGGGCGGTGACCAACTCTGGAGTTCTTTTGGGAAAAGCACATGAATTTTTTTTCCCAGTACAGAGACTAGAGCCCGTGGCAGCAGGCAATACAGCAGCTTCCCAACAGAGACTCAAGCTATCAGGGGTTTCTCAGTGAATTCTTCCCTGCACCTTGAGCTTGTACTTACCCTGTTCATTTTTATAATAAAACAGGGTTTTCCTTCTGGAAATCCGAAAGTCGAGTCTGTGATGCCGGAGCAGTTTTGAAGCATATTTGAGGTAAATTTGCAGGAGAGTTTTGTTCTATTTGGGCCGTCAAAGGTGTCCTGGATGAAGTACGTGTCACTGGTGCAGTTGATGTTCAGATGCTGAGCAGCTGGCGTATATGCTAGGTGCATGAAGGAAAAGGAAAAATTCCCCTCTGAAGTTTTTCATATGGAAGTTATCCATTCCAGTATCGGGCTGGGGTTATATCACTGGAGATTATACTTCAAGTAAAGATGGGATTAGATGGAATGAGGAAAATCCGAATTGTTTGGGGGTTTCTTTGTTTTAGGTTGGTTTTTTTTATAATACCCAAGCAAAGCAAAAATGAGATCAAACTGAGTTAAGAGTGGCAGTTTGTATTGATAGCTCCATTTCAAATGTCAATTTCAAATATAATTTTGCTCAATGCATGTTTGAGAAGCAGAAATATGATATTAAGGCTCAAAAGGAATGTGAATGTTAAGGTATGAACAAACAAATGGAGCACCTAACTTACGTTGACTCTGCTCTCGACACTTGTGCTTCACAAGACATTATTATGGCACTTTGATATTTGTAGTCATGGACAGTATTAGATTAATTTAGTTGGGACTAATTCTGAGAACCTTTTTTCCTGCCTCTTCCTTCACTCTTTCTATTGGCCTCTTTTACTAAGGCTATTTAGGATTAAACCAAGTAAAAACTCTGAAGCAGGGCTCTGCTTTTAATAGACATGTTTACGTGTGTTTGATTTATAGATTCATGATGTGATTTGCTTGTCCCTTTCAGATGTATTTTCCACTCAAAATCTGTGATAATAGAAACACTGACTTAAGGTCCTCAGGCCTAATACGAGAGATGTGAGAACATGTTCCTTCAATATGATACAGGAAACCTCATTTTTACCTGTCAGAAACGTCTGAAGAGTTGTCACTAAACCTTCCCAGGTTTTGTTGTCGGACATGTTGTAATAAATTTGTAGTCCTCTATCCCCATAAACGTCGGGTCGTAATGTTACACCTTTTGTGGAAGGAAGAAAAGAGAAGGCAAACAAAAGGAGAGGTACCAGGAACAGATTTGATTATTTAAATTGACAATAGTGATCATACACATCAAGACTTGTTATTTTAAGTGTAGGAGATTCCCAGGCTTTGCTGGAGAGGATGGACTCTATCTCTGTTCTGTTGTTCAACTGAAAACCTGAAGCTTATGCTACTGCTGAACTCTTTCCTCTTCATGTATATCCTTGCTGTTATCAGAACAGCCTGCAAAATTATTCCAGCAATTGCACTGGGTTTCCACAGGACTTGTTAACAATAACAGTTGTAATAGTCACATCAGGCTAAAAAAACCAGATCGTACTGCAACGTGAGAAACAGCTTTTGAAAAAGTCACACTTGAATAATTTACAGGAATTATTTTGCCAGCAAACACCAAATGTACTGAATACAAGGAGAGGAAACTTCACATTACAACAACAGCAGACAGAATAATTTCTGGGGCTAGAGCTACAAAAAAAAGTCATTTTTTTCGTTCAGATAGTAAAAAACAAGCCATTAGTGGGGTGAAGTTTTAGCAGTTTTCTCTCATGATCTCCCACTGATGATCTCCCCAGTCTTATTTCATGTCCCACAGGGTTTTATTCCTAACTCCGCGTGTCTTTGTCTTGATTCTACTTGCTTGGCTGCTGGCACGGCACATCCCTCTGGGGAAAAATTCGTGGTCTCCCAGGGACTTCCCATGACTACTGGTAAGTGTGGAAATACGCATCCCAGACTGCTCAACCCAGAGCCCCTTCATCTTACTGGGTGCCCCAAAACCCTCTGGGGTGTTTGGAGGACTGGAGCAGAAACCAGGGGTTGGTGCCTGCTCCTTGGGGAGAGGAGGTGTGTCTATTTATATATTTATATACATTTTTAT